TTGTCTAAATTGCGCTGAAGCCTATCCAATTATGTACCAACTCGCCCAAGTCAAAGTGCTTTTAGAACTTTCTTATCTTCAGGCATTTCGGAGTTCGCGTGGCGGAATAGCTTGGTCATCTCTTCGGCGAAAACCGTGACGTTCCCGTTTGGAAACTGTGAACGAGCTTCGAGCAGCACTTGACCCTCTCCTTTTGAATGATGCTCGTGAATATAGCCAGGAACCTGGTGCAAAATGTTTCCCAGGTTGGCAGGGTTCGCTCCTGGTTATCGAACCATGTACAAGTAGCATCTTGTAAAGCGAAGTAAACATGACGAAGCTTATCTTCACTGGTCCAGCTGTTGAAAGCAGCGTTTGATCGAATGCTTTGAGCCAGCTTTCCGAGTCCTCGATTGGCGATCCGCGGAAAGTTGGTGGCTCCTTGGGCTGTCAGAGAACGATTGTTGTAGGCTAGGATTTGTCATTGTTGCTATTGTCGTAGGCATGATCCGGGGCTGCCTGGTGTTTTTGGGAAGGGGCTCGTACTCTTGCTGCAGTTTCTTCTGCCTGCGACTTGCTTGATGTTTGGCGTTGGCGTGTTCTTTCCTGCTTGGGCTTGGTTCACAGCTTACGTCCGGTGCATGAACGAAGCAGCACCTCTACCAGATGTCCCGGAGTCGTGACATGGCCAAAGGGAGTACACTACAGATGTTTATTCAGGCCGAACTTGTGGCCAACAAATGAAAAGTGAGATTGCAGCGAGGCACTGGCACTGATAGCGGCGGGCAGAGCGTCGGCCGTTGATCAACTGACAAGCGGCGAAGCGTGTCAGCATTTATACCCTTGCCATAGAATATTCTAGCATCTTCGCTAGCGGCCACGTAGGTTCCCGAATAATCTGTGACGTTCCCTAAATGGGCGTAATCTTAAAAAAAAAAACGATCTACTAAAGCCTCGAAGCTTCTCGAACATTGTAGGTGCGGTTTGCACTGAACGTAGTGTAACGGGGTGATAACAAAACTTGAGGAAAGGAATGTGGCAATATGCTAGGTCTATGGCACCAACAGACATAGGTCAGCAAAACTTGTGGAGCTCACTCAGACTACTCAAGAAATATATTTTGAGCTTTGGACTAACTCAGACTCACCAAAATTTTCCTGAGCCGAACACACTCAGACTTATCTCACGCAAATTTTCTGCAACCGGACTCACTCGGACTCAAACTCACCAAGACATTACTCACCCGGACACACTCAGGCTCAAGGCTAGATCAGAGTCTGAGTGAGTCCGAGTAAGTCTACTCATGAGCGAGTTCGCCACCGTATGTCCAGAGATGACAATGTACTTCTTTTTTTTTTGATTAGAAGGCACGCAGGACATAGTACACAACATCAAAAATATGTGGTCATATCGTTTGGTGCAACAATCTCAAGGTGGTCTCTCTACCAGCTTTTTCTTCATGCACTTATTCTCGCTTACCAAGCTTTGTGCCACAGTAAGAGAAAAGAGTTGAATCAGGGTCTGCCAAAGAGCACGCACGAATGTACAGCACCAGAACTAGTGTGCAAAGCTGGCTGTGGCACTCCCAGTAGAAGCGTGGGCCTTTAATCGCTCATGCTCTACTAACGTCATGAGCAAACTCGGCCTAGCAGCTGCACAAACCAATCCTTTGGTGGGCACAACTAAGAGGCAACGGCGTGCAACCAACGCGGACTATTATTTAGAGACACCGCCATTCTACCTTAAGCTTTCAGAGCTTCGCACTTAAAAAAAAAATGCTATTAGGAAATAGCTCAGGTGAAAAGGTACATTATGTACAATGTTTCAAAGGTAACTGCTCAAGTAAGAAGAGTGAAAAGAAACAAGAGCAGAGATTAATGGAGAATATCTCGGCAACAGATGGTTTGCAGCCGTCATCTTGCTCTATGGGAATAACAGCAATGATTTTCACAAAGCGATCCAAACCAGGAAGGTGTTTAAGTATGCTTAAAGGTAATTATGCAGAATACAAAAAATATTATTCAGTGGCCCCAGTTTACGCTTGGCAACCATACCACAGAATTTATACAAGTATATCTAGAATGGCAGAAATTCTGGCATGTTGGCAGGAATCCATCCCAAAAGAAGGCAAGAAGTGCGAATGCAGAGGACTCGGGAGAACACAATGTTGCTGGCATTTGTGTTGGCAGCTTGTTTTCTCTTCAGTGCATTCCTCTCAATATTTATACTACCGACAGGAAAGTCTTCTCATGCAAAGAAGGCTTGGCTAGATGGAGCACATACCCCTAGCATTGCTGATTCCTGCGTGGAAACCTACCACTGTTGTTCGAGTGGACAATGCAGCATCACTGCCGTCAGGCAGTCCCCTCATGTGGGGCATAAACTCCCGAGTTTTAACAAAGCAACTGGAGACACTAAGGACAATGCAGTGTGTGATGGAATGGAAAAATGAGGAATGTAAGATTAAGAGACAGTAAGACGGCAAGGTGGATCACGGGGACAGCTGGCATCCTAGATGACACGTAAAATGAATCTGGGCAGATCATGTAAGACATAGGACAAATATGGGAAACACAGACGAGCTCATCAGATGGTCAAGCGGGTTATGCAATTCAGAAATGTTCAGACATAAAATAGAATCACATACTGAAGTGGACATAGAATTAGGTGCTTGGCACTGCTTCCCACAATTCCCAAAGAATATCATTCTTACGCATTTGTGCATGTTTCATGATTGAGTTCCCACTGAATTGAAGCCACATGCAGCCTAAAGACTTGGATCAATTACAAGTGGTAATGGGCGATTTTTTCTCATTTCTGTTTGACACACCTATCCCCACTATGCTCAAATTCACCAACTGTTCAACAATGCTTTCTACTTTTATTTCTTGAGTTATAGGTAATTTGCATAATAGCATACCTGACGTGTAAGCCTTCACTTGTCCTTCTATAACTTGCTCTATTCAATGTAGAACATGTTCTATCTGCACAAATGCTTTGGTTAGATGAGCAAATCCCAAATTACCCCACGGCACTTGCATAACAAAGGAAACATAGTGCAGTCCTTCAGAGGGCATGTGTTGTCGACAACATTTATTGAATGGAGTTTTAAAACCGCACACTGTCACGCATCAGGCTAAATAGACAAGGCAAACCGACAGCTGCTTTTAATTTCACAACTACTATTAATTTCAGATGCTCTGATTAATTCTCATTTCCACAGCAGCCCAGAACCTACTAGGTTCCATAATTCACAAAATAGATAGAAGCCTAAGCAGCCTACACAATCTTCAGAGAATAACAGAACACTGTGTCAGCTACTCTGGCCATTACTTGCCCTTAAGTGTGAAATTCAATTGCAATAAGGAAATACCCATGCTCTCACATGCATTAAAGAAGGGCACTTTACATTTGTAGCAAAAAGCAAGCTTGAAAGGATTTTTTCTATCATCCAGGAAACACGAATAACCAAACCAGATGAGTGAAATTTCATGCCGAGCAAACAGAATGACAAGTTGGCTAAGAACAGCAGTGATTTCAAGGAGTCAATGCATTGTTTGAAAGTGCTATTTTATCAAAGTACAAACTGAATGCAAAGGAATTGATTTCATTACAGAAGAAAAAAGCTTGATGTAGGGGCAGACATGCAATTTCGTTTTCACAAACAAAAATAAATATTGCTAATATTCAGCCTTTCAGTGTTAGCTACTTCATTTATTGCCATCTTATTGGCAATGTCGATAAGCGTACAAAATTTAAAAATGAGGTTTTGCAATCCTACATTGAAACAAGGCTATCTTCGAAGTGATATGTTGAGTATTTCTAGCTCTTTAAAGGCAAAGTGCCCAGGGACGGCAGAAGTGCCAATGCAAGTGAAGGATATCTCTTGCAAAAAATGTGCTAGTTGCGAGTCGCCTTTCGTACATTCGTTAAGTTGTGCTGCAAAAAGCCATTTTAGAAGCAACTTATAAGCAATCAAGGGTAGAAAATTTAACGTTCTGTTTTGGTGATTTCTTTGCTTACTTTACTCCAGCCAATGATCCACAAATGCTTTCATTAGTGTTTTGTGCAAATAATGCAAAGTTGCACTTATATGCAGTTTGCATACCAGTGAGAAATTCTTATCCTCTAGATCAACTTGCAAAACTAATACAGTTCCACTGCACCGAAAAACATGGCAAGTACAAAATGCATAGGATAGATCTGAGAAAGCAATAAAAAACAAAATCACATCTTTTTCTCACTTTTTCCCTCATGCTTCTGCAACACGCAATAAATTTTGAGCACTTGATGTTAATACTATTGTCAAGAGCATTTCTTAAAAGCTTCTAATGAGCTCTTCACGACAGAATTCACGTGACAGGTCGGCTGGAATTCCCAGAATTGCTGCAGTTCGCGCAAGTTCTGGACTACCGTTGTCATTCTTGCGGAGAATCCTCTTCTGTTTATGATCAGTCACCCTTGGCCGCAACGAATGAAATGATCTCATCCTGCCAAGTCTCAAAACTAGAACAAACGTCAGTAAAGGCCACCTAACAGTTTGCATCCGCAGAGATGACTAAATATACGTGATTCTCATCGTTTTGTTATATGCATCCGTTGAATGGCTGCGCCTGCGTCCAAGCGTTTGTATGACATCCTTAACGGCACCTTCATTTGTCTGAAATAAAGATAACAACAACAACACCAATCATCAATAGTTGCTGGTTTGTAATCTGTCACCACTGTCGACGCAATGCTGAGAGACAGCTTTGTGGCGACAGTCATCAGGAAAACGGACGCGACAGAAATGCGAGGCTAGTCTTGTGGTCGCACACATTCTACCTACTTGCAATAGCTTGGAAGGCCGTACGTTACAGCACGCTAGAGAAAATCCCTGGGCTGTCCGCCTTCACTGATACTTGAAGAGTGCTCTCGGATAAGCGTTCACCCACAAGACCATACTCTGTTTGCAGTGAGAGAAAAAAGGGCACAGGAGAAACAGGCAGCACCGGCTCATTTATTGGCCGTCCTGGACTCACCTCGTCTTGGAAGAGCAACGTGGAGTCACCTATCGCCTTCTTATCACCACCACCACCACTTCAATCGGACGCATCACTGCTCCTTTGCACACATCACCACCGCGGGTGCACACAGCACCACTTGGATGATTTCGCCACCACCACAAGCACCAAGTTTCCGCTTGGATTACGCCGGCGGCTCCAAAAATGTGTCGTCTTCGCTGGCACGGGCGCAAAAGCGGGAATGCCGCCAAGGGCGCCGCGATCAGAGCACACTCTTGGTCAATGCACCTTGCATCGCTTGGCTTCACCCAGCTATGCCAGGTATCGCGGTGAGACGTGAATGCATATTGGACGAAGCGCTTCACTCGAAGTGCGATCATAGAATGTCCGTTCTATCCATAGAGCGCAAACTGAGGATTTTAGCAGCGGTGTCTGCAACCCGCTGTCAACCCAGAGCCGTCAGAGGGCGACTGGTTCCGTTTCCGACCGAAAATTGTCTATGGCCACCACTCCGTGCTATGGCCAACGCCTCCTCTAGAAAGATGCCTGAGGAATGGCTCGCGCTCCCAGCGAAGTTGGCCTGCCTTCAGTTTTGAACAAGCTACGCGGTGGCGCTCGCAACCAACACTATCGACAAGTGACAAGATTCGCTCGTATAGACCACTAACCATTACATCGGTACTATACAGGTTGGCGATGCAAGCAGTAAAAATGAAAATAGAAACATGGGCCGAACATAACGATATTTTGGGAGAACTTCAGAACGGATTTCGAGTCGACAGGCGGTTAGACGATAACCTGTTTGTTCTCACTCAGTGTATAGAAATATCTAAAATAGAGAATAGGCCCTTGTACGTGGCTTTTCTAGACATCACTGGGGCATACGACAACGTTAATCAGGAACTTTTGTGGGATATATTGAAAGGGATGGGCATGGGCGACGACTGTATACAGCTTTTGAGGGAGATATACCGAGAAAATACAGTTTGCATAGAGTGGGAAGGAATGCGTAGCAAAGAGAACGTTGAGGTTAGCAGGGGTCTGAGACAGGGATGTCCTTTGTCCCCACTGTTATTCATGCTGTACATGGTGAGTATGGAAAAAGCGCTAGAAGGTAGCAACATTGGTTTTAATCTGTCACACAAACAGGGCGGCATGATGATTGAGCAGAAGCTTCCAGGTTTATTTTATGCGGACGATATCGTCTTATTTGCGGACAGTCGAGATGATATACAGCAGCTGGCGAATATATGCGGAAGGGAAGGTGAAGCTCTTGGACTAGGATTCAGTGTAACGAAGTGTGGTTTGATGGTATTCAATGATCCCTGTGATCAGGTGTCCATACAAGGCCAAGAAATACCGAGGGTAAGTGAATACAAGTACCTTGGAGTATGGGTAAATGAGAGTGATAGATACATGGAGGTACAGGAAAAAGCCTCGGCAGCAAAAGGAAAGAGGAATGCGGCAATAATGAAGCACAGAGCGTTGTGGGGATACAATAGGTATGAGGTGCTTCGAGGTCTGTGGAAGGGTGTAATGGTTCCAGGGCTTACTTTTGGGAACTCAGTGGTGTGCATGAGGGCAGAGGTGCAATCGGGAATGGATGTAAATCAAAGGACTGTGGGACGCCTCGCGTTGGGTGCTCACGGGAAGACGACAAACGAGGCTGTAAAGGGCGATATGGGGTGGGCAGGTTTTGAGGCGAGGGAAGCGCAGAGCAAAATAAGGTTCGAAGAAAGGCTAAGAAATATGAAGGAGAGTAGATGGGCAGAGAAGGTGTTCCGTTATTTGTATAGGAAGAGCGTGGACACACAGTGGAGAAAAAGAACTAGAAGACTCACTAGTAAATATACGGCTGGTATTGTGAGCCATATGTCAACAAAGAGCGTTAAGGGAAAAGTCAGGGAGGCGGAGAGGATTTACTGGATGGCAGCTATGGAGAAAAAACCGGCTTTGAGTAACTACCGAAAGGGCAAAAATGAAATAAGGAGGGAGGCATTTTACGATAATTCAAGGGGAAGCGCTTTACTGTTTGAAGCGAGATCGGGTTGCCTTAGAACGCGTAGTTATAAAGCAAGATTCAGTAAAGAAGAAGAACAATGCACATGCTGCGGGAAAGATAAGGAAACGGCGGAGCATGTTCTGATTGAATGTGGAGATATCCACCCAGGTGTACGTTGGGCACGAGCCTACAGGAAGCCTTGGGTTTTAGGGACAACAATGGAAAGCTGAACACACCCGCGATTGAAATAAGTAAGAGACGGTTAGAGTATTGGTGGCAGAAAATTAGAGAGAAAGGACAAAAATAAATATTGGAAAAATAAAATATGGGCAGTGTGCCGTAAATGGCAGAGAACTTAAGCTGAAAATTTACCTTTTTTCCATTAAGATAGAATTTATCGAAGTAGAGGCATTAGGCCAACATAAAAAAAAGGAAAAAAGGTTTTTTTTTTTTTTGTCGAGCCTGGTGGCATACTTGTCACCACCCCGTTATAAGGGGGACGCTCATAGCATCCATCCATCCATCCATCCATCGATAATCTTGACATCGGTGGAAGGATATTAAATAGCATCAACCTTGCTGAAACGTTTAATGACTTCTTTGTGAAAATCGGAAATGTCAGCCAGAGCGTGCAAACAGCAACTGACATTACTCACTTATCAAACACACTTTTTCTTAAACCGACTTCCACATCTGAAGTAATTACGTTTTTTGGTAAAATAAAAAATACTCGGAGCTGTGATCCTGACGGCATACAAATGCGACCAATAAAGTATGTATTAGACCTCATAGCGGAAGTGCTAGCACATATGTACAACTTAGTGTTATCAACAGGTATTTTCCCAACCAACATGCAACTAGCGAAAGTTACTGCAATATATAAGTCTGGAGATAAAAACAACTTAAGCAATTATCGCCCAATATCTATACTACCAGTTTTCTCGAAATGCCTTGAAAAAATAATAAATGATAGAATTGACAGTTTCTCGAGGAAGCAAAATTTAATAACCGAATGCCAATATGGTTTCAAAAAGAAACTTTCAACTGAAAGTGCCTTACTAGCACAAAAAGAAATCATACTTTGCAATGTCAAAAAGAGACTTCTGACACTGGCGCATTGCACTTGGTGTTTAGTAAAGCCTTTGATCGTGTATCTCATGAACTGTTACTACAAAAATTACAATGCTATGAATTTAGGGGAATACCACTCAAACTTATGCAGTCATATCTGTGCGCGCGGTCTCAGTATGTTGAAATAAATGGCTTCAAATCGCGCACACAACCAATTAAAACCGGAGTACCACAAGGTAGTATCCTGGACCTGTATTGTTCTTATTCTACATAAATGATATTGTCAGAATTTGTGAAAATTGTAACTTCATAATATATGCTGATGACCGCACATTATTTTTACTGGAAAAGATTTCAGTACTCTCGAGGCTTTAGCGGCCAACACATAACACATATTGTAAGCTTCGTGAATGGTCTACCAAGAACAATTTAATGTTAAATGAATCAAAAACAAAATGTGTCCTTTTCCAAGCTCTCGGCATATCCCTGCATGTACCAGATTATGTTACCCTAGGCCCCTACACAATTGCAGTGACCAAATCCATTAAGACGCTTGGAGTAGTTTTTAATGAACATATGTCCTGGAATGATCTTACAGACCACATTAGTTTAAAGTTGAGATGCGTGGTTGGCACTCTAAGTCGTTGTCGACGTCTTTTTCCCGTAACTGTAAAGCGATTCTTATATCAGGCTCTTTTCCATGCCCACTTGAACTACTGCGCTTTGGTATGGGCAAACACTACGTCAACAAATTTAAATAGGCTAAAAATACTTCAAAAAAGGGCGATCAGGGCAATAGAAATCATATCATACCTTGAACACACAGGACAACTCTTTGTTAAACATAAAATTGGTAAGGCAAATGACATATACAAATTCAGGTTGTTATAATCCTATATTAGCGCATACAGAGGGAAACTCGGCGCATTCCTGACACTTGCAAATTTTGAACATACACAAACCATTTACTTCCATCGATATAAACCCTTGTGGAAAATTCCGTTATCTCGCACCAATTACGGCACCCAAAGACTTAGCCACATGCTACCTACTATATTGAACTCGTACGAGCAGCAAGAGATAAAAATTGACACATTAAACAACATCGATGTGCAAACACTATTCTTGTAGATTTGTACTGTTTACATAGGTCACTCTGTATTGCTTTGCATTATTTATTGTGTACCTTTATATATTTTTTTCCTTGTTATTTCTTTTGTGTAACCTCATTGTGTACCTTTCTTATGTACGAAAGCGATGATACATACTTTGCGAATTACTGTGCTCATGTGTTTATGAAATATTCCTTTTTGTTTGTATACCTTGGCCTGTCATTTACTTTGTCTTCTGCTTGAATTCTTTCCTACTCTATAATATTTGTTTTTCTTTTTTCATTTTTGTTGTATTTTGTTTTCACCCTGTCATTGCTGACGTAGGGTTGACGGTGCTTAGTCAAGCTGTTATATTTGCAGCTTTTCTACCGTCTCCCCATTTTTCGCCATTGTATTTGTTTTGGTGAAAATAAAAAAAAAAAAACGAAAACACTATCATTACGGTGACGGGCGGTACCAACTTAGCGTTTTTCATCTGCGGCCCATAGGGGCGCGTCAGTCGAGAGTTGTTCGAGACCTGCAACTGTGCATTACTATTTTGGAGGCTATGCAAAGTGTTGCGTTGTTGCACCGTCCGCCACAAGTGACGCTAGCGACCGAGAACATTTTCAAAATGAAAGAGAGAAAGGATGCGGCTGTTGATGATGATGATGATGAATAAACTTTATTTAATTAGCAGAAAGGTCCTCTTCCTCTTTCAGGTGCGAGAGGAGAAGGGAGGACCAAACCTTCTCCTTCCTCCGTGACCAAACCTAGACGACGGCCATGATCCCATGGGCCCTGGCGGCGTCTTCGGCCTGCCGTATTAAGCCGGCTTGTAATTGAGAGTCAGAGCTGAGGAGCGCGGCATTTTATCCACTCCCGTCTGGAAATTCGCCTCTCATAGAGGCCTGCGGGCATGCTGTTTTTTTTTTTTTTTTTTTCATTCGGCAGGCATCTTCCTATAGAGTAGGCGTTGCTATCGCTTGAGCACGACCTACTGTGTTTTACTGACCTGCCCAGTGAGTGAAGCGCCAGCACACCCTTTCCGGTACTGGCGCCTGCCGCTATGCGCTTTGTGGCGCTACAACTTACCCCATCCGCACCGGTTGCTCACGACCAAAAAATAAGCCGCCGCGCTTTTTTTTTTTTTTTTCGTCTGCTTGCGCGACACTGGGACAAAAACAGCAATATTTACGCGTGCATACACTTTGGACGATTGGAAAAAAAAAGAATAAAAACCTCTTTTTGAATAAACTTAAAAGTATAATGAAGATCTTTTGCTACCGTCTCCTCGTGCCGAGCTGCGATAGAAGCGTGCAGGTAGGTGCAGTTTGTAAAAGCGACGCCCTTGA